TGTGTGTGTGTGTGTGTGTGTGTGTGTGTGTCGTGCGTGCGTACGTTGTCTTTCTTGGGGAAGGGGAGGATCGGGGGTTGTTTTACACAGATATACGGTTCAGCGATCGCCTACAGAACCACATATAAAATAACAATGTGGATAATACAACTGGGTGATTAAATTGTTTGTTTACATTTCAGAGGTCGCTGAGTCCGGAGTGCGAGTGAACGCAGTTGTGTGAGTAACGTCACATACCACACCATACCATACCATACCATACCACACCATACCATACCATACCATACCATACCATACCATACCACATCATACCATACCATACCATGCCAAGCCTTACCATACCATACCATACCATACCATATCATACCATACCATATCATACCATATCATACCATATCATACCATACCATACCATACCATGCCATGCCAAGCTTGACCATACCATACCATATCATACCATACCATACCATGCCATGCCATGCCAAGCTTGACCATACCATACCATACCATATCATACCATACCATACCATACCATACCATACCAAACCATACCATACCATACCATGCCATGCCAAGCCTTACCATACCATACCATACCATACCAAACCATACCACCATACCATACCATACCATACCATATCATACCAAACCATACCATACCATTATATACCATACCATATACTTTTGTACCACACCACACCATACCATACCATACCATACCGTACCGTACCGTACCACACAATACCACACCATATCACACCATACCATACCATACAGACCCATACAATATCCCACCGTCCCACACCAGTTCATACCATATCCCATCATGCCCCATCAATCTGTCCCGTATTTTTCAGCCCAGGATTTGTGGTGACAGACACCATGCTCTACAACTTTCCGGAGGACCAGAAAAGTGCAGTGAGTGTGTTAGTGTATGGGTAGTCAATGTGTCCCTTGAGTATGTAAGTGTGTGTGTAGTCAGTGTTTCATCTAGTTGACGCACATAAAAGTACAATGAGTATGTTAGTGTGTGTGTGTGTGTGGTCAATGTGTCCTTTGAGTATGTAAGTGTATGTGTAGACTGTGTTTCATCTAGAATGTTAGTGTAGGCGCAGATAAAATATGTCTTGTCTTGTAGACACACAGAAAAGTACAGTGAGTATGTTAGTGTATGTGTAGTCAGTGTTTTGTCTAGTAGACTAAGAGAAAAGTACAGTGAGTGTGTTAGTGTATGTGTAGATAAATGTCTTGTCGAATAGACATACAGAAAATAACAGTGAGTACATTAGTGTACGTGTAGTAAATGTTTTGTCTAGTATGTTAGTGTATGTGTAGTCAATGTGTCCTTTGAACATGTTAGTGTATGTGTAGTCTGTGTTTCATCTAGAATGTTAGTGTATGCGCAGATAAAATATGTCTTGTCTGGTAGACACACAGAAAAGTACAGTGAGTGTGTTCGTGTATGTGTAGCTAATGTGTCTTATGTAAGAAAGAAATACCCTATATGTGTTGGTAGGGGCGTTAATTAAGCACACACTCGTACATTTTCAGATGGAGGAGAGATTTATTGCCTCCGCCAAAAAGTCCCAACCTTTGGGTGGAGGTCTGCGCATGTCCGCAGTGGCGAAATCCATCCACTTCCTGGTGAGCGACGGCGCATGCTCAATAACGGGCGAGTGTGTGAGAGTGGACAACGGCTGCCACCTAGCGGTGCCCGAGGGAACCATCAGGGAGAGCGAGATGGTCAACTCGGGGCTGTACAACTCGCGGCCAACGCAGGAGAGGCAGGCCGGAAAGAAGGAGGCGAAAGATGAGCATAGCGGCAATGACCAGTGACCGCACAACACCCGACACTCTATGGCCCCCACTTTACATCTTTTTGTTTGTGTGTGTTTTGTTGTTGTCTTTGTCTTGTTTTGTTTTGTTTGTTTGTATTTTGTTGTTGTGTGAGTTTGTGAGTGTGTTTTGGGGGTTTTATTTTAATTTTTTTAATTTTTAATTTTTAATTTTTTTTATTTCATTTATTTATTTTTAAAAAAAAAATTATTTTTTTTTGGGGGGGCGCCTCTCCTGCAATGACAAGGTCATGTTTCAACAATGCCGTTAAAAAGGTAAATCAGAGGCTGTACTTTCTGAGGAAACTTAGGTCCTTCAATCTGAATCATTCCATCCTTTAATTATTTACACCATCACAATATAGAAACTTTAATTTCTTTTGGTTATCTCCTGCTATGGTAGCTTGGGGAAGACAGCACATCATAAAAAGTAATCAAATTGTTTAGAAAAGCATCAAGAACAATTGATAGTAAGGATGAGGGAAGAAGTTCCCCCTAAGTTGTTCCGGCACAGTATGAGCATATATCGAGAAATCAGCCCATTTACAATTCTACTGTGTATATATGACCATGTTAATATTCCATATTTGGGAATGACCTAAAAAAAACACTTTAGTCAGTAGCACTGCCCTGGTGGGGTTTTTTGGGGGGGTGGGGGGAGGGGGAGGATGAAATACTTCGAACTCCGAATATCCAGCCCATTTAGTTCCATTATTGCGTCATCAAAACTTGCTTTCACCGGCCGTAGAGGGCCGTATACATCATAGACATAGCGTAGCTTGTTAGCAATGTCTAACCCAAGGCCGACAACTTCAGTCTTGTGTCTAACTCCCGGCAAGGCCACTGGGAGATAAACGGGACGTCTTGTTTTAACTATTGAGGACAACAACAATTTCATGGATTGTTTCCCTTCGTTCAGAAAGCTATTGTCGTTGACTATTGGAGATTGTTAAAAGAGGGGGGGGGATACACCTGAAGGCTATCTCACTTATTACTGAACCGAATTTTACCAAATTTCCATTATAACAAGCATAGTAAAGAGTCTTAAAGACTGCAATCAAATTTGAGAAAAAAGTTCCGTATCCATGGATACGGCGGCCATATTGGATTTTGTTGACATGTCTTACGTAATGAACACCGCACTAACTGCTAATGGAAATTGATAGGTTTTTTTTGCATGCAAGTTAACAAACATTAGATCTAAATATTTGTATGTTGCTTTTTTCCTAAACGAATTTTTAAAACTGTTATGCATTTTTTTCTGAAGTACCATTCAAAAACTATTCCAAATATCAAAAATTCAACACACAAATGTTTAATATTACATCTTCTCTTCGTTCTGTGAAAATTTCATGAAGATTGGAGGGAAAATGGTGGAGTTATTCAAAAAGGCATAGAGAAAAGTCGCGTTTTGAGAAAGCAGTCGGTAAAGAAAAATTAAATATTGACTTTATGAGGAAATGATGGTGATAAACTTGCCTGGTATGGGAAAAATACGGTTTTGGGGGGTTCTTAAGCAATGAAATAGTTCTAGGACGCCATAATTTTGAGCCGAATAGGGGCTTTAGGGGTATATCTCCCCCCCCCCCCTTTGTTTTTTAAATATCCAATACAGTGCACTCCTGATAATCAGAGATGTAATTCTGGTTCACTACTAAGCGCACCATTTGACTTCATTAGGAACCAAATTAAGGGCAAGGAGGGAAAACTTGCGCCGCACGTGATTGTAACGAGATTGGTCTCTACCTTAGAACTACAAAGTTCTCTCTGTTCAGTACCTAGTTTTCAGAAAATTGACGTCAAAAACAAATGCAAGTTTTACAACATGTCAAGCTTTGAATATCTTGTTAGCGACTTCGAAAAATTTTACGATTTTTGATAGTGCAGATAGAACATTTATTTGGTTTCGGTCTGCATTGTCTTAGTAACTCAAAACGGCCAAAAATGTCAGATAGAACTTTGTAATTCTAAGGTAGCGTGACGTTTTGTCCTTTCGCTACCCCGGATTACTAATTTCTATCTGACATATTTGACCGTTTTGAGTTACTAGGACCATAAGGTCAGAAAGAAAATGATTTGTCAGCTCAATCAAAATCTTAACATTGTTCGGAGTCGTTACCAATATTATATTCAAAGTATTGCACTCGATAAAAACTTGACATGTGAAGCTAAAAAAACTTTGACGTCAAATTTCCTCAAAACTGGGCACTGAGCAGATAGAACTTTGTACTTCTAGGGTAGAGCTGTACTTGCATGGCCATAGTGCGCACCAGCTCAGGACAGGTATAGAGCGGTCAAAAATTTATTCGTGACGCAAATTATCTTCAAATATCTTTATAACGGGTGAATCAATGTTATCCATTCTTTGCACAGCAGTTTGTCTCAATTTGTCTTAACTTAATCTTATTTTTCCACAACAATTGAGGCTGGACTAAAAAACTTTTTCTTCATAAATTTATTTAAAATACTACAAATCTCCTTCAAGCGGAAAATAGCACTGTTCACAGCACTCCCCGCTTCTCACACACATTTTGTATACCCATAATATGATTTACGTCACAGCTCACCTATCATTATTTTTAGTGGCAAAACTAGTTACAAAAAAGTAACTTTATAGTGAACACGTTTTGACACTAAAAGTTCTCAAAACATGCGTCCAATAAAGATAATCCTGCCATTATAAAAACAATGACGGACTTGCTTTTAAAAGCGATATCACCCCAGCTGTAAACCTTTTGAAATCAGTAGAAACCACCCACTAGGATTTTTATTAGTAATTATTATGGAATTTTCTAGAACAGAGCCTACAGGTCTTTACAAAAACATTGACCAGTTAAGACAAATTGATACAAGTCACTGTGCAAAAGCTGGAGTATGTTCGATAGTTGAGGAGATATTTGACAATAAGTCTCACCACGAAATTTTTACCGCACTATAGGATTTTTTTAATTAGTAATTATTATTAAGGACTTTTCTAGAATAGAGACT